AGGAGAAGGAGACGAAAAAATACCACTTTGTCATTGTTACCGGGCGGGCGGTATCGCTTGGATCCGCCCGCGTAAAACGCGTCTTGTTAATCTCATTGCACAATTACGTCGCAAATAGTATCCGCGCCACGGCAAACATCGGTTCGGACCGCGCGATTGCGAGGGATTAAACCATCCAGGTCCGGTGTTTGGTGGCGAACTCGTCGATGATTTCCGCGCGTGTACACGCCGGATTGACTTACTATTTGCGGCGTATCGGCCGATGCGCCGCGCCATTGTCGCCGTTAATTGAAACGATCGTTTGCAGATCCGCGGTCGATCCCTGGTCGGAGGTTCAGCGCGGCCCTCTCTCCCTTTCCCTGCCCCGCTTACCACCCTTCATCGCTCCGTCGGTTTGCAGCCTCACGTGCGTGCTGTTGCGACATGCAGGTGCACGCGACCGACTCCGCGCTCCCGCTCGATCAATGATCTTGATGAAACGTTCGTCTCTGCTCTCGTGGTCGCGGAAAAGCAGCGAACCGCAATCGTCACTGAGGGCGAGAGTTGCGTGGCGAATCGTTGACGGGGAATTCGCGATAATAACGACGACGGGAAGTAAGGAAATTCGGCTAGAAATAATCAGGTTGATGCCAATCAGTCATTTGGTTACTACAAGATGACATTATCGAGTCCTGATTAGTCACGTGCAACGTGACAATCAGAACGTTATGAATATAATAAGGATTATTAATAATTAGGATAATATTATCGATAATATTATCCCGCATAGAAAATTTCTTGGGAACTAATTGAGGTCCAGCCGAATCTTTTAAAATAATTATGGGTTCTGAAAAGTTATGGGTTAGAAAATTTTAAACATGCGATTCTAAATGAGTAAATCCAAAGTTTCCTCGATACTTTTTCTGCTCTTTGTTAGCATTTAATGAAATATGTTGACTTTCTACATAAAGAATTCTAAAAATATTCTATTTCCTGATTTTTTATACAATTGATGTAAAAATAAGATTCTCTATTTGATATCATAAAATATATAGACATTATCGATTGAAAAAAAACACGAATTCCTATGGTATCGATTATAGCCAGAGTCCATGCTTGTCCATGTTTGGGACAGATTTCAGTCAGGATATCAATGTTGCATCTGGGAAAATCTTGGGAAATTTTTATGCAGAGTTTTATACAAGATACCAGATAACCACTGACTGGAATCGATCCAATCAGAATCATGCACTGCAAAAATTTTTGTATTAAACTTGTCACATTTCGCTTGTCTCAATTTACATATTTTAATTTTTGTATTAGCTCAATACAGGATAAATATGTTAAAATATAATACAACTCTATACACTTTACATATAAAACGTCACCAAGAATGTACATGTTGCATATAAATTGTGTTGTTTTAACACATGAAAGAAGCAGCTCTGCTAGTGCAGCTGAATTTTCTTTTGCCTGACGACCAGACGAAAAACTCAGCTGTAGGAACAGAAAGATTCTTATAGGAGATTTGTACACGGCCAGTTGCTCTCAGTTATCTCAACCGTGTTTGAATGCAACTGAATGCTTAGACGAATGTTTTCGATCACAGTAAGAGATATTATTTCTCGTCAACGAGTTTTCCATCTGGTCCCCATTCAGTCATACAAATTGAAATTTTTTTTGCCGTGCACTTAGAAACGGCGAATATAAACTCAACGCGAAACAGTCAAAATAAAACAACAATATTAAAATAACACACGAGCATGTTGAACATTTCATACTGAAGTTCCCGCGCGAATCGTTTTCAACACAAATACAAAAATGTTTTTTACCGCGTGAGATATATTTCTGGTCGAGTATCGAATCCCCCGGCTTCTCTTTGCGAATCTCGCCATCTCCACGAACCGCGAGGGCGCTCGTGCTTTGCTTATAAACGAACTCGAGGCGGTGGCGATTTTGATCGTTCGATAATAATTACACGCGCGCCATTAGGTCCGATCCTTATTCACTCAAGTTGGATAATCCTCGCTCTCTCGACCTCGTCACATACGGAGGACGTGTCGACGAATCAAGTCTCCTCCCTGCGTGAATTCTGAGGCCGCGCTCGTCGTCGGAGAATCCCTCGCTCGAATATTTTCCGATAATTCGGAAGTTTATCGGCGATGCCGGGCGACCGGGAACCACCATCGTTCGCGGTGCATCCGCTGTGAGCGCAACTCGTGGCAACGACGTTGCCCATTTTTGTCAATTTATTCGAACGCCGGAATCCTGGCCGATATTTTCGATCGAATAAATTTCACCGCAAAAACGAGCAGAGCAGCGCTCTCGGCGGCGGCGTGTATTTCAGCTGTACACCTGCGATCTCGAGATGGTGTTCGCTCGCCGCCACCGCCGCCGCCGTTGCAGCAGCAGCAATCTCGCCCTTAACTCGCACCCCGTGCTCGCGCCCAGCCCGCGCGAAGCGCTTACTCCGCAAGTACAAATTGACTTTTTTTCTCTCTCTCTCACTCTCACCCCATCGCGGGACGTGCCTGATTGCTGAAAATGCAAAATAAACGGTAGCGCGGCTATCCCGGCCTCAATCCGGCCCATCCTTTCCCGAGACGTTCGCGCGCGATGAAGCGGGGATTTCTCTTTGTTCGCGGATTCATTCCGCCGGAAACTTAATTTTCCCGCGTTTCCCTTGGCCGTAACCCCGCTACCTCGCGCCGGCCGTTGTAACGTCGTTATTCCCGAGGAAACAAAGCGCGATCGCTGATAAAGAGGTCAATACCGATTTCGCCGGGGCATCGACGATAATGTCCTGGTTGAATGGTAGCCCATTAAACCCGCCTCGTCTGATTCTTGAAAATGCAGAGCGAGCAGCGACTGCCGCACATTGGCGCCAAGATAAATTAACCGTGACGTTGATCGTTATTTATGAGTATTTCTGCTCGGGAAAAGGCGCACGACCGGCTTACTCACTTGTCGTCGGATGTGTCTCGCTGCTGCGAAATATAAGCGCCGTTGACGTTTTAAAAAGAATCAAACGCCTTATCACGACGCTCTTGAAAGGAATCGGACGTAATACTGTTCGTGTTACCTTTCTTATTTCTCTCTTTTTCTCTCTCTTTTCTATTTATTTTAGTACTCCTCCTCGTCTTTTTTCTCTCTTTCTCTTTTCCTCGCCCTCCTTAACGTGCCTCGTTCGCTTGCCTTTGCCAACGAGATTTACACTACTCCATTTTCCGCTGTTGGCGAAGCCCTTTTAAAAGGCTTCAACTAAATTTCGAGATATAATTGTAGTGCTACATCGTGCCGAGTTTATTTCGCCACCAAAATAAGGCAATACATCCGACACACATAATATTTCCGCGCGCACCGAGCTCGCGCGAGCTTGCGACTGTATTTTCCGTCCGTCCCGACGCGAAATACGGTATTTCTGGCTTGCGCGAGCGCGCCCCCGGCAAAAGAACGAGGCGGACCGTAAAGAGGTTGAAGCGATTTCAAGTAGAACGCGAGCGTAAACGGCCGTTGCATTGGCCGGTGGTCCTTAAGGACGATAAAACACGATGCGTACGACTATCTCGACGCGAGCCGCGGCCCGAGAGAGAGAGAGAGCAGCGATGCACCAGGATGCGCACATATGCACGAACTCCGAGAGGGAGAGAAAGACAGAGAGAGAGAGAGAGAGAGAGAGAGAGAGAGAGAGAGAGAGAGAGAGAGAGAGAGAG